ATGACATCAGAAACATTGGTGGGGCTTGATCTGTAATTAATGATATTGGAAATCATGACACTAGAGTAGCACTGTTCCGACTTCCCTCTCTTTTTGCTGGCTTGGTGTTAAAGTTGAAATGTAAAAATTACAGTCTTCTGCGTCCGTGACCAGCATGTGTTCCAGTACTCAGTCTTGGATGTGTCTCACCTCAGCAATCTCTGTTAGGAAATCTCTGGTATTCACGATTCAATCACGATTCTTGGTACTCTGTCTTACGCGTTCCGTGACTCTCAGGTCACTTCATCAGAGGCTGGAGAAGCAAGCAGTACAAGACTATATAGAGAAGTTTAGATTCACGAGTTTAAAGAGCCAGTGGACCTAACTTATATGCATAAAATACAATCACAATAGAACAGCAAACAGTGTTATCTTATCAAGATTTAGATAGAATAAACACAATACTTATTCTACATCATGCAAAGAACTTTTCAACGAAAAAAAAACACATTTCAAAGGGCATTTAAACAAGTTAGCAGGGATTATAAACAAAACCAAAATCTACTTTCTGGTATAATGAGCTAACTGTGCCAAAAAAGAAAGTTATTCAAGCAATAATTCAAAGGAAATTGACTTGATAAAGGAGATATATATATATATATATATATATATATATATATTAATAAAATGCTTAAAGAAATGGAAGCCCCTATTATTTGTGTAACAAGGACATAGTGTGGAACTAAAATTATAAAACATTCATGAAGTAAAAGTTTATCATGCCCTTTCTTTTTAAGTTCCAAAGATTTAAAAGTGCATACTACTGTATTTTCAAAGGCCTTCATCTTAACATGATAATCTTACATTTCATGAAAGTCCTGTAAGATCTAATGAAAGATGAAACCATCATGATCAGATCTGCTGCTAAACGGGGGGATTGGTAATGTTCCGATCACAAAAAAAATAAACTGATAGACTTTTAAGTGATGTTTAGACATATCAACCTCTTGAATATAACCCTACTAACCAAATTCTAGAAGAACTATGTGATCTGTTAAATGAAGGTTATATATATAGAATATATTTTTAGTGTATAGTGTTTATTTCAAATCCACAACTTTATTTTTCAATTACAGACATTTGTATTTGCAATCTGAGGGGAACGCCATGGGAACTAAATTTGCGCCTAGTTATGCCAACCTCTTCATGGGAATTGGGAAGTTGATTTCATTTGGAACAATTGCCCATTTGGTGCAAATCTAGTTCTTTGGCCAAAGAAAATAGAAGAGATGAGTGTTCTAAGGGAATATTAAAATGTAACCTTTAATAGTAATAATAAAATCTTGTGTAAATGTCCATAATGGAGGTAATGCTCAATAATGGATTGGAGTGTACGTACACCTTAATAAGTGATAATCAAAAATGAGAAAATATGTTGATAAGATTGATTGATGATTGTATTTTTTTACAATTGGGACCTTGACCTTTTAGAATCTTTTAAGAAGTTTTGAATTGTAACCCCCTATAGTTTCAAATTCACTTTTAACCAATCCACCAGTCATATAGAGTTTTTAGACTTTGAAATATATATAAAAATAATACAATCCACACTAAGATTTCTAAGAAGGCAGTATTTTGCAATAGCTTTATCCCTACAGATAGTCACCACAAAAAAATGTGGCTTAATAATACCATACCCTTTGGACAATTTAGAAGACAGAAGAGAAATTGTTCAGAGACAGAAATCTGTTTGTCACAGATGAGTGATATGAAACAGGATTCTCTTTCTAAAAGTTACAATAAGGACCTTTGAGATAAAGCTTTCAAACAAACGATTGAGCCACCCTCTAACATCGTTATAAAAAGGACAAAGACTGAAGTTTTTAACAAAATTCATCATATATTAGTCAATACAGAAGACATTTGAAACAAATTCAATCAATATTGAACTTACATTTGAAGATCCAATTCTCAGGAATATATCGCAGAATAAGCCCACAGTCATTTATTCCAAAATCCCTAGCTTTAAAAATCTATTGACTCCTACTGTAAGTAATTCTAAAACCCTTATCTAAAATAATTTCAAACCTGTTTTTTTTTTTTTTTTATAAATGTGGCAAATGCTTAGGATGGAGCCCTTTAGGGAATCGTTTTATCATAGCAAAGTAGAAGAGAAATATAAAGTTAAAACTTGTATAGATTGTAATTCCTCAGATGTCATTTTTTTTTTTGTTGGCATGTCCCTGCAAAAAAATTATATGTGGGACATACGAAAAGACCCCCTAAAGATTAGAATAGTGAAACACTTTAGGAATATCAAAAAAGTTTTATTGTCACATAATCTCTCTAGACATTTTGATTTATTTCATAACATATTCCCTACCGATCTTAAATTCACATGCAAACAAATAATAGCCCATCATTGGTAGGAGGTGCTATCAAAAGGGAACTGGATAAAACAGAAGCTTTCTGGATTTTCAACCTTCATATGTTAGACCCTGAGGGCCTAAATGTGGATTTTGTGCTTAATGCCTTTTTATAGATTTTATGTCCTCATCTGATTTATATAGTTGGTCTACATATTTGTGTTTTTATGCTAGTGTTTTATTGATGTTTTTGTTTTCCCCCCACCTAACTAGAGTGTAACTATTTTAAATTTTTATTGCAATATTTATACCCATTTGTATACTTTGATGTTTCTTTCGAGAGTAAAGATTTTTATAAAATATTTACAGTTTGTATTTATCTAGCATAATCATTTTAAGATATACATTTTGTAACATACATGGTTAATTCCGTTAATAATTTTACATAATATTTTTAAAACGTTTTTTCGTTAATCTTTGTTTTTATTGAGGCTTTATGTTCAGTTACAATGGTACAGACGTGACAAGAACAGTAACAACAAGAATGCACATAACCTGACAACACAGCGAGTTGGATTACGTTGCAGTAGTAACTACGGCGTTGACAAGGTTGTATACGGCAATACAGTGCAGTAATTTCGATGTGGTCACAATTACGATGCATGCAAGAATGTGCACATTAGTGCATTACGGCAAGTTTTAATAAGTCACAGTCTAAATAAACTACCCTCTTTTATAGTAAGATAAACAGGGCGAATGCAAGCAGCTCTATTTTTTGGGGCCCTTTACACAGCTCAAGCTCTGGGTAGGGAATGTGTTATGTGCAGGGCCGGACTGGCCCACCAGGACCAAGTGGCAGCCTCGCCGGGCCAGCGGCACTTCTAATGCTGAGGACTAAAGGAGGAGGGAGCATGTCTCTCTACCATGCTCCCTCGCGGTTCCCACAACTTCCAGCACAGGATGCACAGTATGCTGTGCTGGGAATTGTGGGAACCGCATGGTTGAGAGACATGCTTCCTCCTCCTTCAGTCCTCAGCATTAGTGACAGGTGTACTGCCGGCCCGGCGGCTCCAGCGCGGCTCTGACTTCCCTCTGTAAATGGGGGAAGGGGTGGAAGAAAGGGAATATAGAGGCACAAGGGGAGGGGGAATAATAAAACAGTGAGAGGGTGAATAGATAGATGCAGGGGAAGAGGGAAGAAAGAGACAGTGGGAGAATAGAGAGAACAGAGGGGGAGGGGGATGAGGAGGGGGAGGGAGAGTGCCACAGGGAAAGGAAGAAGAAAGAGACAGAGGGGGAAGAGTGAGACACAAGGGAAGAAAGAGGGGGAATAGAGAGAGGGGGGAGAGAGAGACACAGGGAAAGGGGGGAGAAAGAGACAGAGCAGAAGAGAGAGACACAGAGGGAGAAAGGAGAGAAACACACAAGGGGAGGGGGAGAAAGAGGCAGAGGGGGAAGAATGAGACACAAGGGGAGAAAGAGGGGGAATACAGAGATGGTAAAAGGGGGAGAGAGAGAGACACGGGGAAAGGGGGGAGAAAGACAGAGTGGAAGAGAGAGACACAGAGGGAGAAAGGAGAGAGACACACAAGGGGAGGGGGAGAAAGAGGCAGAGGGGGAAGATAGAGATTGGGAAGGAGAGGGGAGACATGGACACAGAGGAGAAGTGAGGGGGAGAAAGAAACATACAGAGGGACTGGGGGGAGACAAAAAGGCACACAGAGGGGCTGTATATATAACTGGTGGATCCAGGGGGGGCAATTGCCAGCCCCCCCCTCTCCGAGGCTCTCCCCTGCTGGCCAATGCAGGGCTGGCACTGTCCAAGCGCCATGTGCCTTCACGGACCGGAGGGGAGATCAGAGATCTCCCTCCCCGTTCCGCAGGCACCGTGCAGGCAGCCGGCAGGGGAGGTAGGAAGAGAGGACCTGGGAGCTCAGACTGCAGCTCCTCCGGGTCCTTCTTGTGCGAGTACAGAGCGTTGCCGCGGTTACAGTGGCAATGTTCCGGCTCTCGCGAGAGTGAACTCTAGCCCTGGAGCTACAGGTTAGAGTTCACTCTCACCACTCCGACCAACAGGGATTCCTGGTGGTCGCAGTGGTGAGAGGGAACTCTAGCCCCATACACACACTGTCCCCACACACACCATACACATTCACACACTGCCCCCACACACATACACTGCCCCCCTATACACACACTGCCCGAACACACCACAATACACATTCACACACTGCCCCCCTACACACACACACACACACACTGCCCCCCATACACACACACATTGGCCCCCCCCACACACACACACTGCCCCCATACACACACCATACACATTTACACATTGCCCCACCTACACTGCCCACACATTGCCCCCCACACACACAGCCACCCATACACACATTGCCACACACACATACACAGCCCCCCCATACACACATTGAACCTTTCACACAAACTGCACCCCTCGCACATTGCACCACTGCTCCTATACCCTACTACAGCCCCATATCCCAGCAGACCCCAGGTAAGTTGTCAAACTGTTCTTAAATGGTTTGACTACATACTCTGGGAGCGGGTCCCAGCACTCCTGGCACCATAACCACTACACAGAGCACTAGTGGTTATTGTGCATGGATTTTTTCTTTAAATAATCTATAAGTGCCCCTCCCGAGATCAGGCTCTGGATCCGCCACTGGTATATATATAGATATATATCTATAGATATATAGATATATATCTATAGATATATAGATATATATATACCAGTGGCGGATCCAGAGCCTGATCTCGGGAGGGGCACTTATAGATTATTTAAAGAAATAATATATCTCATGTATATTAATGTGTGTATTAGTTTTATATATATAGAAATATATATCTCATGTATATTAATGTGTGTATTAGTTTTATATATATATATATATATATAAGTAGAGATTGTAGCCGTATTAGTCCAGTGATGTAGATGTAAAAAAACAGATAAAATTCTTATCTTGTAATACCTTTTTTATTGGACTAACAGAATTTTTTTAATGACAAGCTTTCGGGAGAACCTCCCTTTCTCAAGTCTGAAGCATTTCTGAGCAAAACGACACATAGAATTCAAAGTTGAGTTGTGATACAGGGGTTAAAGCGACATGAGTGTAGATAAGACACAGGTTTGTTAGAAAATAGACACCATCTTAGCAGAGGGTCATAAATATCTTGTTGAAGAGAAGAGTAGGGGGGAGAGAGGGAAAAGAAAAACAAACAAGCAGACAGTGCACAGGATGTGTCGTTTTGCTCAGAAATGCTTCAGACTTGAGAAAGGGAGGTTCTCCCGAAAGCTTGTCATTAAAAAACTCTGTTAGTCCAATAAAAAAGGTATTACAAGATAAGAATTTTATCTGTTTTTTTACATCTATATATATATATATATATATAATTATGCGTATTATATTTACATATATATTAATGTACCTTTATATATGCATAATACACAGAGAAATGTCATTGATATGTACTATATGTAATGAGCAGATATTGGCCCAGTCGTGTTGCTAGGTGCATACTCCAGCACAATAACATATTTAAAGTGAAGAGCGCACCCACAGGACTTCAAAATAAAAAATTTTTACAGTTGTGCCCTACATACATTCACCATTTCAGTCCCATTACCAAGTTTTCCCTAATATGTCAAGGTAGTTGGACTGAAACATGGATTACATGCAAAGGCACATCTGCTTAAAATAAATCAGCACTTTTGTTTATTTTGAAGCCTATGAGTGCGCTTTTTACGTTGGAGTAATTTTTAATTTTAAGTTATCTTTTCTAACTCTGTATATGCACACTATGCTGGCGCAATGCATTATGAGGCTGGTAAATAATTTTTTTTCCAGGGCTGCTTTTAATTCCCAGTCCGGCCCTGGTTATGTGTTATTGTAGATGATGTAATGGGTGTGTTCTTATAGAATGTGGTGTATAGGGATATCAGTTTGTGTAAGGGATGTATTGTGTGTGTGTATAGGGGATGCAGTGTGTGTTTGTGTGTAAGGAATGCATTGTGTGTTTCTGTGTGTGTGTAAGGGATGCATTGTAGGAATCTGTGTTTGTATGTGTAATGGATGCAAGGTGTGTTTCTGTGTATGCAATTTAATGCAGTGTGTGTGTGTAAGGGATGTGTTGTGTGCTTCTGTGTGTGTGTGCGAGGGCTGCATTGTGTGTGTGTTTGTGAGGTATGCATTGTGTGTGTGTAAGGGATGCATTGTTTGTGTGTAATGGGTGCATTGTGTGTTTATGTGAGTGTCAGGGAAGCATGTTGTGTTTCTGTGTGAGTGTAGGATGCATTGTATGTTTTGGTGTGTCTGTGTGTGAGTAGGGATGCATTGTATGTTTCTGTGCATGTGTGTGTAGGGATGCATTGTGTGTTTCTGTGTATGTTTAAGGATGCATTGTATATGTGTGTAGTGTGAAAGAGAGCGTTTGAGGGGTAGGAGAGGGGGTGAGAGGGGGCTCTTTATTTTTATTATTTTGTTAATATAATTTTTTTTTTACGCTTTGTGTATTACACCCCCTTTAGTGTATCACTTACAAGCCCCTTGTGTGTGTCTAATACCCCCCCTTCTTTGTATGTCTCCGACATCCTCCCAACTCCTTTACGTGTCTTACTCCCTCAAGCCCCTTTGTGTCTTACTCTTACCCAGCTCCTTGGTGTGTCTCTTTTCCCTCTAGGCCCCTCTGTGTGTCTCCCTCACAAGCGACTCTGTGTTTCTCTCTTAAGCACCTCTGTGTGTCTCTCTCTCCTGGGCCCCTCTGTGTGTCTCTGCCTCCCTTACCAGCCCTTCTGTGCTTCTCTTTTACCCCTTGCTCAGCCTCTCTGTGTGTCTTACACTACCCCTGTCCCTAAATGTTTTTTCACTTCCCCCATCCCTTAGTGGTCTCATCTCCACTTCTCCCCCTTATCTCTTAGAGGTTCCCCCTCCTGTCCCTTAGTACTCTCCCCTCTCTCCCTTAGTGTTCCCTCCTCCCTTCCTTTCCTGTAGTGCTCTCCCCTCCTGTCCCTTAGTGCTCTCCCATCCCCTCCTGTTCCTGAGTGCTCTCCTATCCTTTGGTGCTCTCCCATCCCTTAGTGATCTCCCCTCCTCACCTGTCCCTTAGTGATCTCCCATGCCCCCTGACCCTTAGTGCTCTCCACTGCCCCCTGTCCCTTAGTGCTCTCCACTGCCCTCCTGTCTCTTAGTGATCTCCCCTTTCCTCCTGTCCCTTAGTGCTCTCCCCTACACCTTAGTGATCTCCCCTGCCCCTTGTCTCTTAGTGCTCTCCACTGCCATCTTGTCCCTTAGTGTCCTCCTCTCCTGTCCCTTAGTGCTCTCCCTTGCCCCCTGTCCCTTAGTGCTCTCCACTGCCCTCCTGTCCCTTAGTGATCTCCCCATCACTCCTGTCCCTTAGTGCTAACCCTGTCCGTTAGTGCTCTCCAGTGCCTCCTGTCCCTTAGTGATCTCCACTCCCCTCCTGCCCCTTAGTGCTCTCCCCTGTCCCTTAGTAATCTCCCCTGCCCCTTAATGCTCCTGTAACCTGCTCCCATGTCCCTTGGTGCTCTCCCCTGGCCCGCAGTTCTCTCCACTGCCCTCCTATCCCTTAGTGATCTCCACTCCCCCTAGTCCCTTAGTGCTCTCCCCTACCAGTTAGTGATCTCCCCTGCCCCTTAATGCTCCTGTAACTGCTAGTACCCCTATTTACCACTATTAGGTCTTAAAACATAGAATTTAACATGTAATTTATCGTACAATTGCCTATCACACCCCCCATTCCCATAGTGCTCTCTCTCCCCCCTGTCGCTTAGAGTTCTTCCCCCTCCCCCATCTTTCCCTTAGTGGTCTCTCCTCCCCCCATCTTTCCCATAGTGGTCTCTTCCATCTTTTCCTTAGTGGTTTCTCCCCCCCCATCTGTCCCTTAGTGGTCTCTCCCCCACCCCATCTTTCCCTTAGTGGTCTCCCCATCTTTCCATTAGTGGTCTCTCCTCTCCTGCCCCCACCCCACCCCCAGTAACCCTTAGTGCCACCTCCCACCCTCCCTGTTGTGCCTTCTACCTATTTGTAGCATGGCCATGCGGCACGGACTGCGGTACAGGAGCTTATGTTTCCTGTACCTGGCCAGACTGACAGGAAGTGCTCACTGAGAGAGAGCACTGTGCGCTTCCCTCCTGCCAGGTCACTTGAATCTTGCGCCCCCCGGGCCGGTGCACCCTAGGCGTCTGCCTAAGTCGCCTATAGGATGCGCTGGCCCTGTAAGATAAAATTAAAAGGTGCTTAGTTACAAAACTATATACTAAATCAGTCAGTAGATAATTGAAACTAAAAAGTCACTTAGTTTAAAGTGACAGTATGGGAATAGAAAAACCATTGGGAAGCAGAAATAAAAGATAAGAAATGAACAAAAAAGAGAGATTATATCATAGAGTAATGGTTGTAGAGTGTGCCAAGGTCCACAGATGAGCCACCAGGGCATTTCACCCTATGCCACATGATGTCCAATGCCAAAAAAGAAAAAAAATAGAGAGTTCTAATAAGGATAAACCCAGAGTCTTCAGCCCGAAACCTTGCAAGAGGCGAATGCCTCAAATCCATCGATTCATCATCTCCCAGAGGTGAGATTATGGCCCCCACTGGTGGTTTTGTGGGTGTATAGACTGCTGCTTGGAGGGAACTCCGAGCTGGCCCCTGGCACAGAAGAGGAGCAGGATCCTAATGATGTAGCTGGTATCACATGGACCGGTTGGGGGGGGTGTAATGCATGAAAGCGAGATTGGATGTGCAGCCAGAACTCCTGGCATAACGCATCAAATATAGAGTTAAAGATGCCCCTCCATTTCCAGGTCTTCAGATCCACTTGATGCTGCTGTGGTTCACCTGCTGGAGCCATTTATGACCCACCACATGGATCCCTGCTTACTGGGGTCACAGGCTTCATCCTACAGGTTTAGCATCCCAGTGAGGGCCGGGATATTTCCTCACTGGTCCAAAGAGGGGGGGATGCTGCTAAATTAACTCTGGAGAATGCAGCATTGTGCAGAGCGGGAGATCAGCCACCTCACCAGTCCAGCAGTTGCGTTATGTCTCACTGGAACCTCTGGGAAAATATAAAAAATGCAAGAATCACCTCTACCTCACATAGGGCTCCATGTACAGGTAAGTTTCAAATTAAATCTCTTGTGGCGAGTTGACTGTTGAGAAATCAACTAAATGTGAGAGTCAAGCTGGAAGCTCACTTGATACACAACCAGCAGCCATGATGCTCAGGTCTCGTCCCTATCATTTTTATTCAATACTTTGGTATGACCACCTATTTGTTGATTATTTTTTAAGTCCCAAACAACCATTATTTTCTGTATGAGTTTATTTAGAGTTTTTGTTTTATTGCAGGATACTGTCATGGTTCTCACTGTAACATCCAGACATGGTTGCCCCAGAAGTGCCCAACAGGGGATCTGAGCCTGGATCCTTCTGTGTCCTGCTGTCTTGCCTCTGAACCACACTTCAGTTCTTGTTTCAGCCTGATATTTATCCTTGCCTTGTCTCCAGCACTGGGTCCTGGACTTTTCCTGTGGCTGCTTCTGTCTATCTAGGTCCACCTGAAGCATATCGCTAATTAGCCAGCTATAAAACACTGCCTCTCTCTGAGGGTAGTGTCCTTTCATTGACTCTGGTTCTCATTATTGTGTGTCCTGATCGTGTGTTCTCTAGTTTGATCTCGCTCCTGACCTTGGCTTATCCCATCGTTTACTCTGACCTCTGGCTTCTCCTTACTTTGGCTTTCCACGATTACTCTTCTACTTATCCTTGCCTTTACTGCGACTTGGAGCATTTTCCTGCATAGCCCCCGTGCACAGACTCCCAGCCCAGGTGGCTTATTACCTGGTCACCTTGGTCTTTGTTTATTTGCAAGGGTGAGCGTATAACTCTGCACGTCTGACTCCACATCAGGTAAGATCCTGACAGATACTCATTTTGGATGCATTTTACATGATTAACTTTTATTTTTATAGAATTGGTATTGTGTACCATGACCCAATTTCAGCCAAGCTTTAGATGTCAGACATATGGCATCACATTTCACTCTGGAATACTTTTGTGTACAGAGGAGTTTATGGTCGACTTAATAACGGCAAGATTCCCAGGTCCTGTAGTTGCGAAACAAGCCCAAATCATCACCTCTCCATCACCATGCTTGCAAGTCGGTATGAGGTGATTATGCTGATATGCTGTGTTTGGTTTTCGACAAATGTGGCACTATGCATTAAAGCCAAACATCTGCACTTAACGACATTGTTCCAGAAGTCTTGTGGTTTGTTCAGATACGACTTTGCAAACCTTAGCTGTGCTTCCATGTACTTTTTAGAGAGAAGAGGCTTTCTCCTGGCAACCCTTCTAAATAAATCATACTTGTTCAATCTTTTTCCATTTGTACTATTATGAACTTTAACATTTAACATGCTAATTGAGCCCCGTAGAGTCTGAGATGCAACTCTTAGGATTTTTGCAATTTTTCTGAGCATTGCATGGTCTGATCTTGAGGTGAATTTACTGGGATGTCCACTCCTGGGAAGATTGACAACTATCTTGAATGTTTTCCACTTTTTAATAATCTTTCTCACTGTAGAATGAGGGACTTTAAATTATTTGGAAATGGCCTTATAACCCTTCCCAGTTTGATAGTCAGTAACAATTGCTTCTCTAATATCATTGCTGATGTCTTTCCTCCTTGGCATTGTGCACACCAGACGAGTAACTTGCTAAAACTCTGGCTTTTATAGAGATGGTCACGCTTGCTGATGATCAGTTAATTAAAGCATTTGATTAGCACCACCTGTCTGCTACTTAGGAAGCAGTAAGGGTGTACTTAATTTTATATAGCGTCTCCATTTTGGATTTATTTTGTTTAATAACTCATGATACAGTGCAATATGTCATGTGCTGTTCATCTGAGGTTGTATTTACCTAATTTTAAGACCTGGTAAGGAACAGATGATTGATATAATGTTCTGATATGTAAAACCGTAGAATTCAAAGAGGGCGTGCTTTCTTTTTCCCATGACTATACGCAGGAGTAATATTAAGCCAATTTCCTTTGCTTGAATTACTTTCTTTTTTTTTTACACAATTAACTCTTAATACCATAACATTAATTATATTTAGGATTATAAACTTTGCTAACTTGTTTAAATGTCCTTCTAAATGTTTATATATCCTGCATATTTGTTGAAAAGTTCTTTGCACAATGCAGAATGAGTATGGTCTATTCTATATCTTGAGAAGATAACAATGTTTGCGGATCTATTGTGATTGTATTTTATGCATATAACAGTTAGGTCCAGTGGCTCTGTAAACTATTGAATCTAATCTTCTCTATATATAGTCTTGTACTGCTTGGTACTCGAGTCTCTGATGAAGTGACCCTGAGAGTCATGAAAAATGTAAGGCACAGTATCAAGCATTGTGAATTACCGCATTTGGCCAGATTGAAAGATTTATCCAGATTGATGTTCTACCAAAAGGCAAGAATTTTCATGTAGACCAATTTCTTTTAATTTGAACACTAACATATTGTGTGGATCCATATCGAGCATCTTTGCAAAATCCACGCAGATCACATTCACTGCAACATACTGATTGTATCTATTAGGGATGTGCATGATCCAAAAATTCGGTTTGGTTTGGAAATTCAGGTAAGAAAAAAAATTTGGCGCTTGGGCAATTTGGAAAATCTGTAGGGCTCCCTAACCTAACCCTAACCTTACCTTAACCCTACCTTAACCTCAACCCTAACCCTACCATCATTCACATAATTTTCACTCACTCTCTTTTTTTGCTACTTTTCAGAAATCCGAAGCACTTTGGCAATTCAGAACTTCAGCAATTCGGTTCGATTCGGGACTTCGGACATTCGGAAGCATCCGAATGTCTGAATTTCCCGAAATACGTCCGAATTCACATTCGGACCAAAACAAATTGCACTTGTCTAGTATCTATTATGATAACAGGTCAAGGGCCAACTGGGAAAATCAAGGGATATCCCTGACAGATCATGGCAAATCAGTTATGGACATAGGGCCCATTGCAAAGGAGATCCTCTGTAGCCTTAAACTGGCTGATGGGTATAACGGAACCCAACAATAGATCCCTCTAACATAAGCAGTCTGGGTGTCAATTTATCCCTGTTACATAGGTCATTTTCACTGCTTATCCCAGTGGAGTACCACGGGAGGAAAATTACCACCCAAGGAATGGCAATGTAAGTAACTGACTGTAACTGAACCCTGATTTCCATGTTGCTGGTCCTCTTCCTTAACAGTTCAAGCCTATCTTTTGCAGATATACCTCAGATAACCTTGCCTCTACATGCTATGGTATTAGTGCCAACTCTCTTCAGCTGTGTGTGGCTCTTGATCTATAAAAGCCATTTCCTGTGTCTATATCTTTGCCAGATTATTGTGGTTCCAGTTACTCTCTAATCAAGCTTGTTTCTGTTTGTTAAACCTGTTGCTGAATTTGGACCATCTGACTTTGCTGCTTCTTTATCCCACTGACATCGGCTTGCCTTACTACTTTACCATCTTTCTGTCCCAATTTCTCATCTCTGCTTAAGACCAGATGGCCACTCAAGGCTCAGTGGCTCAACCATCTGGGTAATGAGTGGTTATTTCTTGCAGAAAACCTTGCTGATCTGGCTGATGGACTCCAAACCCTAGAAGGAGACACAACACTCAAGATTAGGGGGTGAGATGAGGACACACACAACACCGTGTGATGCAGTAATACATACAAACGTGAGACTGGGAGAGACATAAAGTCGGTATATGGTGATAATAGGATTATCTGGATGCTGTATTTACACTATTATCTTTCTTAAACCTCTGGTGAGAAACAAAGTCAGACTGAGCTCCTTGCTCCAGCTAAATAAGCACAACAATAAGAGCACGTGCCAGTTCCCTCGAGTAACGTCAGGACAGATAGAGGACAATCTCATTCAATTGGTATATTGTATTCCTCTATTCAAGCTTCTATTGATCATTCCCAAATGTTGGGTCATCGAGCTTGCTGGAGAAATCTCTTGTTACATTTAGAATTGAATTATATTTTTCAAGCCAACATTTCAGCATGCAAATTACTTCCTGCTTCGGAGCCCAGGATGTTTCAGCACCACCACTTTGGCTCTTACTGACATGGCATCTGCTAAATGATGAAACTAACCTGACTAATTCAAAACAAATTCAAGGGTCATGTTAGTCAAATTGTTGCTAACAAAGGTAAATGTTTTTGTTAGAACACTCTTGGTAGCCAATCCATATATTTTTTACAATCTTTCATGCTTAAAATGGATGCCTCAAATATGGCTATTGCTACAGAAAGGGCTAATACTATAAAGTTACAGCCATTATTTTTTTTTTTTAATTATTAATAGCATTTACATAGTAGCACTTTACGCCTTCTCTTGTTTCCCATAGTTAACTTCTATACTCATAAATGTAATTTCTCCACCAATTGTGTATAATTGTATCCCTAGTTTGACTTTACATAGAATACTGTGTATAGTTCTGGAGACATTTCCAGAAGTATAAATAAGCTAAAAGTTTTTTAAAGAATGGCTTGTAAAATTATACCTGGTTTAAAAAAATAAAACAAACAAACTGAAACTTCATTACCTAAACTATCCTAAGAATTAATTACTTATACCACTTTTACCAGACCCAGAATAGCCTCAGGGAAAGCGAGTAAATGTCCAAAAAGCTGCAATGGCAAAGGGCTGAGGCCAACAGGTGAGAGCAAAGGATCTCTCAGTCGGCCCAACACTAAATGAGCACCAGCCCAAACAGGGAACTCTATTCCTTCATGGGCCGGTGAGAAGGTCAAAGATCTACTACTTCGGACCAGGATGTACACATATGCGGCAGAGGTGAGTCGGGACTGGAGAATCTCTTCTGCATCTCCGGTATGTGTGGAACAAGTTCATTTCTCTCACAAGATCAAGCCACTCAGCTCATTGCAGTGTTTAAACTAATTAATGAAATAGACTTGGCTTTTCCCTATCGAGGTGCAGGCCATCTACTCCACCCACTGGACCTACAGGCATTTACATGCTCACCTCTGTAAGGTAACAAGAGGGAGGGTGGAATAAATATATATTTTTTCTTTTTTGAAGCACACTCAGCATGGTCTAATGAGATACTGTGCTGTACTAGCTAGTGACAGTTTACTGGTGTCCCTGGATGTGATACACCAGAGAACCAACCCTGGTGTTGCCTCTCCACACATTAAAAACACTCTTTACAGAACCCTGTCTCATGACATGCGCATAGTCGCCTTATCGGCATCTCGATAGCCTTAACCCATATATAACCCCCTACAACCATAAAACACAGAGACTTTGAAGTTGGGTTAAAATTGTCACAGCTTTCTTATTAATTAGAATTTAATTTTAAATTGTATTTAATGAAATAAAGGTCATTGTCAATAACACTTAATAACATCACAACACCATAACTTTTACATATAACTTTTATCCACAGACAATGATCCCACCATAAATAACATCAATTCATCCATATAAACATATAACATTAATATAAGCCAAACAGTTAACACAGCCACCAAGGGCATATTTTTAACTGATTCCCAACGCCCGATTGTCAGGATACTAGTTGATCCCGCACGCAGAACTGTATCACACCTAGGACTAAAAGGTAACGTCTTACCGGGCCTTAGAATGGCCGGACTTAACGTACCAGCGAAAAGTCAGAATACTTGCCGAGGTCAGGGATACAG